GTACATCAGTAGTTACTTATATACAATATTACAATACATACTTATTTTCCCATTTCATTCATACTGTGATCTTCTCACATAAACGGTAATGTAAACTATATTTTGGTAATGATAGTCATACTTGGGAAAAACACTCACTTTTACAAAAGAACAAACTTACAAAACAGTTGGGTCTTCGTAGAAGACTACTTTATTAGAAAATCTAGGATTTTCTACGAAGTATACAAACATTTACATTCAAACACTTACAAACATTTACATTAAACATTTCCAAACACTTTCATCAAACTTATACAAACAATGACATTAAAATACTTATGAACTCACCAGCTTTAATGCTGATCTACACTTTCAAAATAACTTGTATTCTCAGGTCACCAGTACACAGGTACCGATGACCAGGTTTTGAGAAGACGGAGCACGTTCAAGACTCGTCTTTTATTTTTTATTCATATTTTTGGTGTCTTATAAACTATACAGAACAAACTTGTATTAAATTATACTATTAAGGCAATGGATGATGTTGTTGCTTGTTTTACTATATTGCATTGTTATGATATTGTACATGACGTCCTCCGCCCCCGAACGTTTCCGCCGTTCTGGTTTGGGGGTTGTGATAGACATCTCCCTCGGTGTCAACAGCCATCAATGACGTCTCCCGCAGTCCGCTAGACAGATTCACCTTCTTCTTCACAGGTATGAAACGTTTTCTCTGAAATTGGTTCTCTTATAGGGTTAGAAATCAGTTTGTTTTTTTTTTTGTGAAATTGGTTCTTTGAAATTAGTTTTTTTCTAGGGTTCTCTGAAATTTGTTATATCCTGATTTCATGTGTTCCCCAAAACCTGCAAAAATTACAGATATAATTCAGGTTCACATGAAGGTTAGGATAAAAATTAGGGTTTCTTTGGGGATTTCTCTTATTTTCTATGAAACGATTGGTTTTAAAACTAATTTCTATTCTGATTTCTCTTATTCTCCTCTATATGATTCCGAATTTGGCGATTTTGTATGAGTTGGAGTTCGAATTAAGTTGTTAATCTCGTATTTCTGATTCCCAGTTCTTATTTTTCGTATATTTTATCACTATTCTGATTCAGTTGGAGGTCGATTGTTCAAAGTTAGAGACTTCAGACCTAGAGTTTGGTTTGAAGTCTTCAGTTAAGGAGGTATTTATTTGTTTTATTATCCTATTGTCCTATTTTTTATTCCCGTTTTGTTCAAAATATATAAGTTTTGTTCAAAATATGCATCTTTAATTTCACATTTATTCTCCTATTCTTCTAATTCCATATTTGGGGTTTGCTTAAGGATAGGACTCTATCTTATATATAGAGTTTGATTATGTGCTGGAATTTTGAGTTAGAAACTGGAAAGAAGTTTACAGTTCTGATTTCAAATTTATGATGTGTACTTTTTCTAACTTCATAAGTCATATAATTATAATATTGATTAGTGGCTATGATTACAATTTCCCTTATGTTAAATTTTGAATAGTTTCATGTTTTGAAAATTGCCAAATTGTTTGAATCCATGTGTAAGTGGTATTTTGCAATTGCAAAAATTCTTGTAATTTTGAATCTGTTAGCCATATATTGGTCTATTTTTTTTACCGATTTGCCAGTTACTCGTATGTAATTGTGAATTAGTACATATGAAAGTTTCTTTTTAATGGAGCACTTTTTTTTTATTGCTCAATAATACAATGAAAATTGTTAAAATTTGTTCTTATATGTGAATTGGTAAAATTTGTTTATTAATATGCTTCTCAAAAGTCTTTTTAGTTTCAAAATATCAGTTATTTTTTAGCAGCTTGCAGACTTTAAAAAAGTAAACAGTCTTCTTATTGCAGACTGCAGATTTTTAGTCCATATCTTCTTTTGCAGAGGTCTGCAGATGTGGTCCGCAGACTACAAACATTTTGCTTTTGAAAAAACAAACATCACCTAAATCTTTTTGTTGATTGGAGAGGTTAAATCTTTTTTCCATTAAGCAAGATACTCTATTGGAAGACCAAATATTTGATATTTTCTTTTTCAAATGTGTTTTCAATTAGTCATGATATTTTCAGAGTAATTGATCCGGCAATCATTCGGATTCACCATATAAATGTTGAATGTGAAGCCACAATTGTTGAATGTGAAGCCACAATTGTTGAATGTGAAGTTTTTTCAAAGGTTGGCTGAAGACTCGGTTGTGTTTTTTTGACTACTTTTGATTTCCATCTCTATATAAGAGATTCATCTGTATTTGTAAAACTTGTATCTAGAGTAACACAGAAAGAGTGCAGATTAGCACCAAGAAATATAAATTCCTAGTTACCGGTGGACGTAGGTCAGAGAAGGACCGAACCACGTTAAATCCCTCGTGTTCATCCTTGTGTTCTTGTTTTTCGTGAGCTGTGTGTGTGTTTAGAGTCGTGTGTTAAGTGTCTCGATCCTAACAAGTGGTATCAGAGCCTTGGTTTAGCTCCAGAGGGTGATTTTCTGTTTTTTGGTCGAAATTTTTTTTTCGTCAAAAACGATTTTGGTGTATACCGTTGGAAAGGTCTCGTTCCGAAGATTCCGAAAATATTTTTTTCTGAATTTTTTGACCACCGGAAGACGTCCAAATCGCCGGTCAAAGGTTTGCCGGAATAGTGACCGGGAAAACCAGTTCGCCGGAGAAGACGACACTGTAGCACCAGACACTGTAGCAGTCCGCCGGAGAAGACAACACTGTAGCAGGAACTGTAGCACGACGTCAGTAGTGACGTCAGCAGTGACGTCAGCAGACACTGTAGCAGGCACTGTAGTAACACTGTAGCAGATTTGAAAATTCGCAATTTGGCCCCTGAATTTCCAGAAAATTGCAAGATAGGTCATTGTTCTTTCAGAAAATGGCAGAAAGCAGTAAGCTTCAGATTGAGAAGTTTGATGGGAAAGATTTTGGTTGGTGAAAGATGCAAATTGAAGATTTGCTCGTACAGAAAGACTTGGACGCAGTTTTAGGTGAAAAACCGGAGGCGATGACACAGGCAAACTGGGAGACTTTGGATAAGAAGGCCAAGGCATTTATTAGACTGACGTTGTCAAAGGATGTTTCCTTCAATATTTTGAAGGAGACCTCGGCAAAGGGAATCATAGAGGCATTGTCTAATATGTACGAGAAGCCGTCGGCAGCAAATAAAGTCTTCCTGATTCGGGAACTAGTCAACACGAGGATGAGGGAAGGAAGTTCAGTTACAGTACACATCAACAATTTGAACTCGATTTTTTCCAGACTTGGGTCAGTGGGAATAAAATTTGAGGACGAAGTTCAAGCTTTACTACTGTTATCATCATTACCTGACAGTTGGTCCGGAACAGTTACAGCCGTTACTAGTTCCGCAGGATCGAAAGAGCTCACTTTTGAGGGAATTCGGGATTTAATTCTAGGCGAAGACGTCAGACGAAGAAATTTCGGGGAATCATCAAGTAAACAATTGAATGCGGTCAGAGGTAGAAGAAATAACAGAGGTAGTGGGAGCGGGAACAGGAGAAGGAGTCAGTCGAGGACTCGAAATGATGTGACTTGTTGGAACTGTAAAGAGGTTGGACATTTCAGGAATCAATGTCCAAAAGACAAGAAAGAAGTTAACGTTGCAGTAGACCATTCAGATGATGATGTTTTGATCTGTAGTGTGGAGAGCAATGTGGATTCCTGGGTTATGGATTCGGGTGCTTCATTTCACGCTACCCACATCCGTGAAGCACTGCGGAATCTGAAAGAAGGGGATTTTGGTAAGGTAAGACTGGCGAACGATGAGGTTCTTGATGTGACGAGCATAGGTGACTTAGATCTGAAGACTCCAGTCGGTCCATGGACTTTGAAGGATGTCCGGGTAATTCCAAGTCTGAAGAAACAGTTGATTTCTGTTGGGCAGTTGGATGAACAGGGACACGAGGTTAAGTTCAGGAATGGGCAGTGGAAGGTTGTCAAAGGAAATCTTGTGATAGCTCGTGGACATAAGAGGGGTTCATTATATATGGTCAGTTTACCGTCTGAGGGAGTAACCGTCCCAGTTCAGAAGAAAAACAAAATCCGGTTCATAGAGTCTCGTGGACAGAAGAAGGTTTGCTTTGCAGATGGCAAACCCAGAGTCACAGATCAGATTCAGGTTGAACGTGTTTGGAACGGTTCAGAAAAACCAGTCAAGGGCATTCATAGCAGTGGGAGCATGGGCTTTGTTTCAGCTAGAATACCCAGAACACAGTGGGTTAAGAGAACCAGTATTCCATCTGTAAAAGTCTCTCCAGATTATCTGCTTCACATGGAGAGTGTCGTTTGTTCTCAGGATGTTCCAGGATCGGGCAGTTCATTTCAGTGGGAGCCGGTGGAGACAGAGAACAGGTAAATTGAAGAGAAGGCCGGGTAACTAGGAAGGAGTTAAGATCAAATTTTTTAAAATACAGATGCACAGTTGAAGTACAGGTGAAGATTGTTCTGTGGCTTCAAGTGGGAGATTGTTGAATGTGAAGCCACAATTGTTGAATGTGAAGCCACAATTGTTGAATGTGAAGTTTTTTCAAAGGTTGGCTGAAGACCCGGTTGTATTTTTTTGACTACTTCTGATTTCCATCTCTATATAAGAGATTCATCTGTATTTGTAAAACTTGTATCTAGAGTAACACAGAAAGAGTGCAGATTAGCACCAAGAAATATAAATTCCTAGTTACCGGTGGACGTAGGTCAGAGAAGGACCGAACCACGTTAAATCCCTCGTGTTCATCCTTGTGTTCTTGTTTTTCGTGAGCTGTGTGTATGTTTAGAATCGTGTGTTAAGTGTCTCGATCCTAACAATAAACCCAACCGATTGTGGTTTAAAAGTTTGACTTTAATCTATTTTGCCGGATATTTTCTATATTTTGATCCATAATTAAATTATGTATATATCACTTTGGAATGAAATGAGAACACACTGTTTATTTAACACTATTCTATTAAACAAGTCAAACATACATAATCTTTTATTTAAAATATCAACTTCTCCGTCAACAAACCTACGAAACTTCGAAATATGAAATATGATAATTTTCATATTCGAAAGAATTATTAGAAACCTAGGAAATTAAGCAAATTAATATTAAAACGGAGTTTGGTTGATAGTCTTCAAACATTTGGCTTCTTAACCAATGTAGTACATAGGATCGGGAACTTTAAACGTGCGATCACCGGCGTTGCTTCCAAGTAAATCGCTCCATTGATCGCCCATATTCCCACGAATCTTGTATCCACCCTCCTCCTCCAACTCTTTCCTTTTCTTCGATTTGTACACCACTCCGCTTCCATCCCCAGCTCCTCTGCATATATTACAATTGATTTATAACCAAATATCGATCGATTTAAATGATGTTTTTATCTAACGATATATCGAGTCACCTCAGTATTAGCTTTTCCCACGTCTTATAACCAACTGCTTTCAGATTTTTTATACGGGCTTCCCTGTGAATCTCGTCGGCTCCGGTGAGAAACACAATCTTGAACCCTAATTTTATTAACTCTTTGTACAGTTTAAGAGACCCCGGTATTGCCAATGAAGATGCTTCCTCCACCCAAGCGTTGAACGCTGTCTCGTTCAACGGCATTGCCCTAGTCAAAAAGCATCAAAAACAGATATAAAAACACGATAAATTAAGGATACGATGATTTTGGTTAGTTGTTTTGATTACCCGAAAGCAACTGTGTCACGAGCGTAATACGGGAGATTAGATAGTGTAGTTTCATCAATGTCGAAGACCCAAACGTCATTTCCATCTCCGGTGAGGTTGAGGCCTTTGGCATACTTATAGGCTTCGGCGGCGACCAGATCAACATCCCGACGGTATTGTTTTCCAAGCATGTAATGACCGACATAGTCTTTGCATGCGTGGGGAACTTGGGTCCAGTTCTGCAGGTTGTTGGTCTCCACTGCCAGCCGCCAGCTCAAGCAGTTGAGGTCGGAATGCTTGTGGCCGCTGGATCCGTAGTGTGGCTTCAGCATGTGGATGTAAATGTTTGGAGATGCAGCAGCGGTGGTGGCGATGGTTGAGATCAGAACGAAAAGTAACGTGAAACTGAAATCCATGGCTTTTGCTGGGGGATGCATTAATTAGTAAATAGCAAGTTGTAATTTGTGTTGTAGTAGTGAAGCATATGGGCATATGGCATTGGCTTATATAAGCTCGGTTTGGCCCATCCTACTCTTTTTCAAAATCAACGCTTCATCTGTCACGACTCACGAACACTTACCTTGTTTTTTTAATTGATTATTAATTTCAGTTAACTGAAAATCCAAGAAATAATCATTTGTGATTTTGTGTATTACTTTTATTTTGACTAAAGTACAAATTACACGAATGGTCCTTTAGGTTTTGGTTTTTTCCTTAAAGTAGTCGCTACGGTACTTTTTTCCCTCAAATAGTACCTACGGACGATAAGTTGCACGCGTTTGGTCCTCGAGTTGGATGTTCGTCCATTCCAACATGACTTGCACATGAGGGTATTTATGTCATTTTACCGTAAAGGACCTTTTCTGAACATTTAACTAAATAGTGTTAACCATTAAGGTGGCGGGGTTTAGTTTCAGACACTGACTTTGACACTCTATCTTTTTCCCCAAGAAAACATTTTGACCATCCCCTCTTCTTCAATCGTTTGTTCTTATCGTCGTCTGGCAACATAGTTCAACTAATTCAATGGTGGGTCGCGGAAAATGGTGCTCACATTGTGATCGTTACGTCCACGCTACACCCAACCACATGAGCTACGTAAAGAATATGGTAAGCATAAACCTTGTAATGCTAGGTTTGACGAAATGTTGTACACATGTAATTTTGCTTTCCTCCATCAGTAACATTTTGTTCTTGAATTTTTATCTCAGGTTCTATTTCAAGCTTTTGCATATTCAAGATAAATCATAGGGGTTCGTTGATAGTTTATTTTATTTCCTTCTTTTTATTAGTTTATATTAGATTTTTTAGGTCTTTTTATTTAGTATTGCATTGTATTTTATTTATTTTCTTTATTATGGATCGTATCGGGGACTTTCTATTTTGCATGAGGTATTTTGTAGGGTTTTGGAGCTTGTTGCGGTTATGAATTAGCTTGGAAATGGACTTTGTGGGTTTTCGAGGCGTTATTGGGCTTTACCGATTCATCAAATGAGATTTGGGCTTAAAAAGTTGAAGGCTTGGATGAAGTGGGCTTGTGAAGATGGGTCATGGATTGTTATTTTGGGCTTGGAGCATCCATATTTGAAGCTAGAAGATGATTGGTTAATTTGAATCATGTGGGATATGGAGGGGACCAAGGGAATCTTGGGTAATGGAATGATTAGTGGAGAAGAATGGACCAATAGCATTCCAGCATCACTTGCGAGGGTGGAATCTCAGGCGCGCGGGTACCCGCGCAACAGCACACTTTTGGGCATTTTAGTCATTTTGTTTACCTTTTACCTTGGGGGTTGGATCTTTCAGCAACAACTTCGATTTTCCACCATTGAAGAGCATTAGAGGCGATTTTGGAGCTTGGATACTCATTCTTCTCATCTTTCTAATTAATTGGTAGTTTCTTGATGCAAATACACTTTTGTGATTGTTATTTTGTTGCCATGAGTGGCTAATTTCTCTATTTTGGTTAACTTTGGCTAAAACCCTTGGATGTTTGTGGGTTTTTGAAGGATTCATGCTTAATTCTCATTTATCTTATGTTTATGATTCTAGTTCATATTTCTTATTCTTGTTTAATACTTTTATCATGAGCTTGGTACTTGAATGAGCAATTGTTGGTTTATTTCTTTGGTTTAGCATTGAATCATTGAGTTTACTTAGAACAAGGGCTTTATGATGGTAGAAATCATCTCTAGCTTATGAATCATGACTCCTTTATGGATGTGTAAGCATTGAAATCCTCTAGGAATTGGGGATTCCTTTATCCTTAAGGCTAATCAACTTGTGACAACCCGTTATTTTCAATCTTGTAAAAGTAAACTAAAGTCAACAAAGGTCAAACATATCTAATAAAAGTCAACTTTGTTGTTTTGTAAATTTAATAAAGTTAAATTAATAATGTTGGTACGTATAAACCTTTTAGTAAAGGTGTTGTAGAATTTAGAAGTTAAACCACCCAAAAACTGAGGATTCTCGCATACACCGAAAACCCTCGAATTGGCTTTTCTCCTTGGATCGAAAACGGTTTTCAACCGAAAACCTTCGCATTTCCTTTATTCTCCTCGCACCGCAAACCATTTACGACCGAGAACCTCGGACCGCAAACGTGCGAGACCGAAAGCCCTTCCCAGCAGAAAACCTCCTCGGTGGGTTTCCCTTTTCGGCCGAGAAATCTAAAATATATAGATATTTATTTGACTAAAGCGCCACATATTTTCAGCCATATATATATGTGTAACGGAAAATATACCCTCATTCTTACACTCTTCAACCGAAAATCATCCCATTTTCTCTCAAGAAACACAACCGAAATCACCATCTTTTCTCTTGATTATCATGTGAATATCCTTTGAATTGTAACACCCGATCCCTGGTATGTCTCTAATTCAAGAATGGTATGTATTTTCTCTGGGACTCGACGAGTTGGTGGCCCAACTCGTCGAGTAGAGATGGGATCAGCGGAAAGTTTAAGTGACCTACTCGACGAGTCGGAGACTGACTCGGCGAGTAGGTGTTGTTTGAGTAAAACCCTAAATTGAGGGTTTGCACCCTATTTAAACATCTTATCTCAGCCTCCGTCGCCCTATCACTCTCTTAAGTCTGTATATCGAAACCATAGTCGTTTTGTGTGATCTAAGGCCATTTTGGTGCATTTGGTGGTTTGTGAAGCTTGAGAAGAAGAAAGGAGCTTGAGAGTTCAAGTGGGAGCTTAGAGATCCAGAGATTGTGATCCATTTCCAACTCATTTAAGGTAAAAAGCTCATATCTTCATCTTCCATGTAAATAATCATATCTAGGGCTTGGATCTTGGTATATTTAGGGCTTTCTAAGCCATTTTCGGGTTGTGAAGTGTGATATGAAGTTATGACTTCAGATTTGGGGCCATTGGGGATCTATGGCATAAAGATGCCAACTTTGTTGCCATAAACATCCCATGCATCTTGTAGGCCATCTTTTATGGCTTTTTGAGCCAAGATCCCATGCATGTGCACCAAGTTCGTGACTTTACGTAAAAAAGGGACCCTAGGAGGTCAGATTTATGTTTTGGATGCATTAAGTCCCACTGAAATCGACTATATAGTAATGGACAAGGAGGGACTCGGCGAGTCACTTGGGTGACTCGGCGAGTCGAGACGCTTTTTCCCCAAGAAACGTCTTCTGGAAATGGTTTTGGTTGAGTGGAAGGAACGCTCAGCCTGCTAAGGGTTTGCCTTGGACCTGGAAATCGTGGGACTCGACGAGTACTAGAACAGACTCGACGAGTCCAAGACAATCTCCCAATCTTTGAAGATGGACTCGACGAGTTGTTCATACAACTCGGAGAGTCATAGACTGGACACATTCTTATGAGGGAGATGAACTCGACGAGTTCAAGGATGAACTCGGCGAGTCGGATGAAGATGGTCCCGATGGTTTGAATGAAGGAGAACCCGTCGAGTTCTTGCTAGACTCGACGAGTAGAGTCGGGGTTGGATCGGGTTAGTGAAGTATGGACTCGACGAGTTAGTAGACCAACTCGGCGAGTCAAGTCAACTGGGTGTTGACTTTGTCCAATATTGACTTTGACTGGACTTGAGTTGACCCTGGTTAGGGTTGTATGTTATGTTGATGACTTGAGGGTTGTCGTGTAGGGATTGAGGAGTCGAGGAGAGCCGACCTTCACGCCGAGGACAGTTCCGACACTACACGACATCGACGTGAGTTACCTTCCAGTAGACGTGGGTCTAAGGCACCAAGGCCGGCCCATTAGTAGTTGTTTAGCTGAGATGATTGTCTTTGTGATAATTTTCTGGTCTGCTATTGCTTGATATGCGAGTATGCTAGTTTGCTTGATATGTGACTATGCTAGTTTGCTATGTTATGTGAGATAGTATCAGTAGGAGGGGACTAGTCCCCGAATCGGTCGTTAGGACCAACGGGTAGGTCGGACACCCCAGATATGTCTGACAGCATGATTGAGATATGATATTATGTGTTAGCAGTAGGGGGTGAAATAGTCCCCGTGTTCGGTTGAAAGAACGGAGGGTAGGTCGGCACCCCAGAATAGCCTGATACGGGTCGGTCAGCACCCCAGAATGGCTCGACATGGGTAGGTCAGCACCCCAGAATGGCTTGACATGGGTAGGTCAGCACCCCAAAATCGCTTGACATGGGTAGGGCGGGCGCCCCAGAATTGCCCGACAGTATGTATGTTATGAGATTGTATGGTATGTGGTATGATGGGGGAACTCACTAAGCTTTGTGCTTAAAGTTTTAGTTTTGGTTTCAGGTACCTCTTCGTCTAAGGGGAAGGAGCCGACGGTGTAGCAGCGCATCACACACACACATGGTTTCCGCATTGAGTTTTCTGGGAATGTACTCTGATTTATTTTACTTTTGACGATATGATTTTCAGACATATTGTTAAGTTTCTTCTTACAAATGATATGGCATGGGAAATGTTTTGGTAAACTATGTTGTGAATTACTTAATTAAAAAAGAAATTTTTGGGCTTGAAATTTGGGATGTTACAAGTTGGTATCAGAGCCATAGTTTGAGGGATTCGGACACACCCTCGGGGGTGTTCGGACTCAAACTGAGGGATTAAAGGATTTTTACACGGAAAATGGTTTTCAAAATAAAAATCCGAGTCAAAGAGTTTTGAGAAAGAACAAGGTGTGTGATGCGTGCGACCGGCCGAGCTCAAGTAGGTTTTCCCCAAGATACCCATACTTGTTATGTTATGTCATGTGATATATGATCCTAAGAACTGCATGCTAGACTAGGGCTAAGGATCTAGGAGGATGCCTTGTATGCCTGATATATGATTCTAAAAACTGCATGCTAGACTAGGGCTAAGGATCTGGGAGGATGCCTTGAATGCCTGTTGTATGAGCTGTATGCTAGGACTGTCTAGTCAGCAGTAGGATAGCCCGGTTAGGTTATGCTTGATGTGGTTACTCAATGCACGAATGGTGCTTGCTTTGTGCG